CTCCATCTAATCCAGGAGGTGCACAGCCCCACCTGGGGAGACACCTTGTTGGATCTGGTCATGGCTACAGGTGATGACCTGGTGAGGAGTCTGTGGGTGCTCAACCGCCTGGGCGACAGTGATCATCGCCTGCTGGAATTCAAAATCTAGTGCAAGGTGGCAAAGGCCTGCAGCAAGGCAGAAGCCCTGGACTTCAGGAGGGCGGATTTCAATGAGGTAAGGGGGATAGTAGGGGAGGCACCGAGGTCCCAGAGGGGAGGGGAGTCGGGTGTCCAGGAAGAGTGGTCGTTCCTTAAGGAGATGATCCTCCAAGCCCAAAGGGAGGTAATCCCAACGCGGATCAAAAGGGGGCAAGAGGGCGCAAAAGTCTCTATGGCTCACCAAAAACATACGGGAACATCTCCTAGCTAAAAAGGAGGTGTACACCCAAAGGAAGGAAGGGGCCATTACCAGGGAGGACTATACCTCGGTTGCTCTGGTCTGTAGGGGGGTGGCCAGGATGGCCAAGGCGGAGATGGAACTGGGACTAGCTACCCAGATCAAGGACAAGAACTTTTTTAAATACACAGGGGGTAAAAAGAAGGTACCAAGTAACATGGGGCCTCTGCAGGACACGCTAGGAAATCTGGTCGTCGCGCCAGACAGCAAAGCTAACCTATTTAACAGTTTCTTTGCCTCCATTTTTCTGAGCAGGGACCGGGTCACCCCCCCCGCTGGGACCCCCGTAGGTCCCAGGGGAGGTGCACCCAGGCCTACGGTCAGTGAGGACATAGTCAGGAAACTTCTGGAGGGACTGGACGTATTTAAAATCAGCAGGTCCTGACGATCTCCACCCCAGAGTGCTGAGGGAATTAGCAGAGGTCATTGCGGGACCCCTGGCATAGCTTTACGAGCACTCACGGTGCTCTGGCGAGGTGCCAGAGGATTGGAAAAGGGCCAACGTGGTTCCCATTTTCAAAAAAGGGAGGAAGGAGGACCCAGGATACTATAGGTCACTTAGTCTTACATCTATCCTGGGTAAGCTTTTTGAGAGAATTATCCTGGCACATGTCCGCGAGGGGCCAGCAGGGGAGGTCATGCTTAGGGGAAACCAACATGGGTTTATTAGAGGCAGGTCCTGCCAGACCAACTTGGTGGCCTTCTATGACCAGGTCACAAAATCGTTAGACGCAGGGGTAGCAGTGGACGTAGTCTTTCTGGACTTTAGGAAGGCCTTCGACACTGTCTCTCACCCCATTCTCATTAAAAAACTAGGGGGCTGTGGCACCAACATCTACACAGTCAAACGGGTCACTAGTTGGCTGGAGGGCTGCATCCAGAGAGTGGTGGTGGATGGGTCATTTTCAACCTGGAGGGATGTGGGCAGTGGGGTTCCGCAGGGCTTGGTCCTTGGACCCTCACTGTTCAACATCTCCATCAGAGACTTGGATGGGGTTGTAAAAAGTACCCTGTTCAAATTCACAGACGACACTAAGATATGGGGAGAAGTGGGCACGCTAGAAGGGAGCAATAGGCTGCAATCGGACCTAGACAGGTTACAGGCGTAGGCGGATGAGAACAGGATAGGTTTCAACACGGACAAGTGCAAGGTACTGCACCTGGGGAGGAAGAACCAGCAGCAGACCTACAGGCTGGGGAACTCCTTTCTTGTCAGTGCAGAGGCAGAAAAGGATCTTGGAGTCATTACTGAGGCCAAAATGAACATGGGCTGACAGTGTGGGGAAGCGGTCAGGAAGGCCAACCGTACCTTGTCATGCATCCACAGATGCATTTCAAGCAGGTCCAAGGAGGTGATCCTCCCCCTCTATGTGACACTGGTCAGGCCGCAGTTCGAGTACTGCATCCAGTTCTGGGTGCTGCACTTCAGGGGGGATGTGGAAAACATGGAGAGGGTCCAGAGGAGGGCCACCTGCATGATCAGGGGC